AAATTGACATATGTATAGAAAGAGTTAATAAAATAATAATTACGATATTCAATTGTAATTACATTAATAATACTCAAGAGCTGTTGAACTATAAATAAATGGAATTGACGAGTCTGTCGTCAATACATTCTACGTATATATATGCTTTTTCCATAATTGTAGCAAATAAATTCGTAGGGACAGGACGAGCGTAAGAAATGGAAAAAAATTTGTATTTTACCGCTACTCTACTCATCGTTTAATGAATTATCTTATCCTAGCGCACGAATGAAAGTCACTTGCCAGCGCCGAAGAAACAGGAGATTTGCTTCTGGTACTTTCTTAAGTACCGAATTGACTATTTGCCTTTGAATGTTTCGAGAGTTCGTCTGGGTAAAAGTCATGGGCGCCTTATTGTACCTTGAGCAGATGTGACGACAAGCGGCGAGTTAAAAAAAGAAAATTGCGTAGCGCGCTGCTGCTGGTTGTAATAGCGACGAAACAGAGAGAAATAGAAAGGACGTCGATTGAATAATCGTCGGAAGCTGTGGGCGAGAATATAATGGACCTCTATTAAAGCCTTTTTAACAATCAATTCTAGCAAATCAATTGAACGTCGTTCTTCATTTACTTTTGACTCTATCCCCTTTTACATAATTTTTCTCTCTCTTACTTTTTGTTTTCTTCCAAGTGCCCAAGTTCATAACGTAGCCCATATTATTGCTTTTTTCAGTTCACTTTGTCACACATTTGGCAGGATATCGCTTTATCATTATCGTAAATCATCGTAAGATTGATCGAGATGTATATTCTGTGGATTATTTATTACAGCGATTATGGTAGGAATGTTAAATTTCGTTTGTCGCGAAGGGACAAAATCCTTAAAAAATGGAGATTATTACGAGGGATTGCAATTACATCCGTTCAATGCTCGACAATCGATCATCTCCACATTTATTATAAATTACACATTAAAACGGCCCAATAATTACACGATAAAGTAGCAACATTTTATTTAATTGATTATTATCTTAATAATTACTGTCCCCCGAAGCTTTTCCTTACACATACATAATAATAAATTCCACTTTTAGTTCGGATATGGTTATTAATAGTTAGTTATCCAATTGCTCGACGTATTAAGCAATGCAGATAATTATTATATTATACTAATGACGAAACGATGACTTTGAATAGAAAGATAATCATTTTGAAATGTTATTGATTCTCGATGCGTTACATCGGAAGAACATAATACAAATCATTTTGCAAATTAATTGAGTGAAGATTGATGAGGCAGCGATTTTTAGCAATTTACGCGATCATTAAACAAAATTATATCTTCTATGCCAATGTCGTTATGGTATATAAGGCGCCGTACGATGCAAAATTACATTTTCACCGAGCACCACAACGACTTTTTCCCACTCACTTTCTTTAATGCAAATATTACAAGTGAAAGTCGCACGATCGTCGGCCCATGTTGTTTGATAATTTTATCGGCTAAAATTTTATCGCTGATTCAACGAAATTCATTTACCGAAACACGGACAGGACATCTGTCGGCCACTTCAGTTCATGCCGTTTCTCCATTTATTCTTAGACAGGAATATCACTCTCGCGAATATATCGCGCCACTCCAGTGTCTTGCGGTTGATAAATTTGTTGCTCGAATAGCGCCAATCGTCACTGTCGTACATTAAATACATTAAATGCCTTTCTTGCATCGATCTCACGCCATAGATCGACGATCTTCTCATTGCAGCGTTAGGAGCCTCATCGAACTTTTTGGCGTGAATTTTTGAACGTATGAAATGAAAAGCCGCGGTACAACATTCTCGTAATGCAACGAAGCGAGCTGTGAAATGAAAAATTGTCGTTTAAAAGAGCCGAGTGGCTCGATAATAGCTTACGCATTCGTTGTGGCGACTAGTTGGGATGACGCTCGACTCAATTGCCCATTCGACGAGACCTTGAATGGCCGACGAACTTGAATTTATTAGGATACTGCGTCTTATTACCAATATAATAAGAATTCACGCTTTCGTAGATAAAAGCTTAGGCAAATATCAAGATCGTTAGGATTTAATCGTACGGGATTAATGGAGAATTAAAAATGCGAAAAGCAATTCCCTTAAGCCGTCGGGACGTGCAACTGACGTGGCAACAACAGGGAAACAATAGAGTTTCGGGCGTATTAATGGAGCTCGTCATTTATATTAAGCTCGAGCCCCAATATGAGAGAGATCGAGTGAGTGTTACGACATGTTGGGTATTGCTTTGAGTTTGGGCGTCGATCGATAATGGAAGATCGTCGTGCGATGAAGAAGCATTTCGAGGCAGTGAAAGGTGGCGGCGGCGGCTCAGTATCTCGTCTCGTCATCAGCGACTCTTTCATTTTGGAGAACGCATCGCTCCCCCCCCCCCCACCCGCCACAACCCCGCACCCCCA